GGTGGTGTAACGTAATAAGGGCCTCATCTACCCCTCAGTAGGGGAGAAAGCCAAAGTGGTGTTGGTGGAGGATATCAGAAAGAAAGGTCCATTTATGGATTCGATAGAGGATTAGCCGTTTAAATAGTTTTGCAACGTGAGAGTAAGAGAGATCGGTCTATAAGAAACGCATATCGTCGCTGGGCGACCCGGTTTAATGATCGGAACAACGGTAGAGGAGGTCCAATCTGGGGGGCAGGACCCTGAGGCCCAGAGATTGTTTAAAAGGTTGAGGAGGGCCGAGAGGCCCAGAATTTGTTTCATTAGTCATCCCTTGTGATTCGACTGCCGTCTGCAACCCTTCATCTCCGTGTCGCTGTCGAAATGGACAAGATGACAGTTACAGTGTGTGTCATATCTACCTGCAGGACTCCGACTCGCCGCTGCCCCGCTGCCCGTTTATAACATCCGGAAAATCGAAGTTAGATTCGACAGTGACGTCGAAACTTATTTCTGTTGGAGTAATTGCATTAGGATGTAAGCATAACCTTCAGCGAAATAAACGGTTTAAATAAAAGGTTTAAATAAACGGTCAACACTTGAGTAAAATTCCCCTCCTCAAATCGGCGTACTTACATGGCCTATTATAAAAATATGAATTTGCTAAATTATATTACAATACAAATTGATTATAAATTCAAAAAGTATTATTTTACTGATATTTTACTGAAATTTAGATAAATTAATAAATAAAAACATTATTCTATCCATTATGTTTAACTGCAATAAAATAAAGGAAATAATTTCGTAATTTATTTATAATTTCTTCCAGTTGTTATCTATTATATAAATTTGGAAATATTTAAATTTTATTGTTTCGAATTAAAGTGTAAATAAATTAATAAATAAAAACATTTTTCTATCCATTATGTTTAACTGCAATAAAATAAAGGAAATAATTTCGTAATTTATTTATAATTTCTTCCAGTTGTTATCTATTATATAAATTTGGAAATATTTAAATTTTATTGTTTCGAATTAAAGTGTAATTATGTATAGATATGACCACATCTTTCTATTTTCTAGTTAGATTGTCTTTAAAAAATCTCTATTGAGTAACTGTCCTAGCAAAAGAGTTTAATATTGTGTATGGTGCCATCCGTTATTATATTTCTTTCAGTTGTTATCAATTATATAAATTTGGAAATATTTAAATTTTATTGTTTCGAATTAAAGTGTAATTATGTGAAGATATGACCACATCTNTTCTTGGCACACTGAGTCATATGCCCCTTCTAGGTCGAGTGCGACTAGGTACACCCAGTGCTTTCTTGCTCGGGCCACGGCTATATGGTGGTGTAACGTAATAAGGGCCTCATCTACCCCTCAGTAGGGGAGAAAGCCAAAGTGGTGTTGGTGGAGGATATCAGAAAGAAAGGTCCATTTATGGATTCGATAGAGGATTAGCCGTTTAAATAGTTTTGCAACGTGAGAGTAAGAGAGATCGGTCTATAAGAGGCGCATATCGTCGCTGGGCGACCCGGTTTAATGATCGGAACAACGGTAGAGGAGGTCCAGTCTGGGGGGCAGGACCCTGAGGCCCAGAGATTGTTTAAAAGGTTGAGGAGGGCCGAGAGGCCCAGAATTTGTTTCATTAGTCATCCCTTGTGATTCGACTGCCGTCTGCAACCCTTCATCTCCGTGTCGCTGTCGAAATGGACAAGATGACAGTTACAGTGTGTGTCATATCTACCTGCAGGACTCCGACTCGCCGCTGCCCCGCTGCCCGTTTATAACATCCGGAAAATCGAAGTTAGATTCGACAGTGACGTCGAAACTTATTTCTGTTGGAGTAATTGCATTAGGATGTAAGCATAACCTTCAGCGAAATAAACGGTTTAAATAAAAGGTTTAAATAAACGGTCAACACTTGAGTAAAATTCCCCTCCTCAAATCGGCGTACTTACATGGCCTATTATAAAAATATGAATTTGCTAAATTATATTACAATACAAATTGATTATAAATTCAAAAAGTATTATTTTACTGAAATTTTACTGAAATTTAGATAAATTAATAAATAAAAACATTATTCTATCCATTATGTTTAACTGCAATAAAATAAAGGAAATAATTTCGTAATTTATTTATAATTTCTTCCAGTTGTTATCTATTATATAAATTTGGAAATATTTAAATTTTATTGTTTCGAATTAAAGTGTAATTATGTATAGATATGACCACATCTTTCTATTTTCTAGTTAGATTGTCTTTAAAAAATCTCTATTGAGTAACTGTCCTAGCAAAAGAGTTTAATATTGTGTATGGTGCCATCCGTTATTATATTTTATTAAAAATCTTTTTAAATTATAAATTATTATAAAATGGCAAACAGCTTGATTTTCAGGGATGAAATAGCTTAATTTTGAGGGTAGAGTGTAAAATCTTTATTGAGTCCGACTCCATTTGAGATACGACACGTGGCCCTTCTATCTATCTACTCCCTCAATCTTTTAAAATGCAATATAATGGTCCTGAAGAGTAAACAAGAAATTATTCTATGTAAAATTTATAAATTTGGCTATAAATATAATTTTTAACAGTTACAACGTAGCATGAGAAAAATATCTGCATGTGTTAAAATTCACAGCTGTATGAACACAAATTTATCTTTTAAATTACGTTCTAATATAACAGTTCCGTAATATACAGAAATTTCAAGCAGTTTTCACAAACATACATTGAAATCCAACAGAATTGGCGATAACACCTTAAATACAATGGCTATTATGAGATCATGTTTTCAAGATAAAAGTATTAACTGTATTTCTTCTATTGTTTCATATTCTGATCCGAAACATCTGTTTATTTCTTACTATGCATTCTGTTGTAATGAATGCATAATAATTTTATAATAATTAATAATATAATATGTTTTTAAATAAGATATCGTACAGATGGCGCCACACAATTTTGAAATGTTTTGTCGGGAATGTTATGCAACTCATTGCTGAATAATTTTAATTACTAAACACAGGCGATCATTCATAACATAATAATAATAATGCACTTACAAACACAATTTTTTAGCTGTTATTGAAACATTTTATGATAAAGAAAATTGTACGCGAATAAGGAAATTTTGGAGTACTGCCAAGGGAATTATGGTATACTCTGGTTGGCAACACTGCCAAGACAGATTTGAGGACCCGAGAAAGAAGACAGGAGGTTGAACAAAGGAGAGAGACGAAAAAAGGAAGAGAGTGACCGATTGTTGTCCAGTTGTGAGAAAATAAAAAGAAAAGGTCAGTTCTTCTCTTATTTAATCTTTTTAATGTATATGATTGATTCCGAATACGAACGAGAGAATAACACAATAGAATGATAGTGCAACACATACAGCACGTGCTTTGTGCTGCACGTGGTCTTCGAGTGCCAGTTTAATTTTTCCCCTTTTTCTTTCTTTCGTTCCTTTCTTTTATAATCTATATTTTTATTATTCCATATAAATTTTTTTTGAACGATACGATCTTCGACAATTGGTGATCGCCATTTCTCTCTCTTTCGTGAGCCAAATGGACCCCGAGCGAGCATTAGTTATAAATTATGCCGCTGCGGCAAACTCAGCGGCATAATTTAGCGCATTCGATTTGTGGTATATTCTGGTCATAATTGCGTTTTTCGATCGAATTAAAACCTATTTATAACTTTGTTTTTCGGGCCTTAATGTAGAGTTGATAGTGAGTCATATTTACAATCCAACCAGGGACACATTTCAGAATCAGTGAAAATGGGATGCAAAACTGACTCAATTTTGATTATTGTTTTAAAATTTATTTATTTGTTGATCTATAAATTGATGCTATTATATTGGTGTGTTAAGGAAGTTGCTCTATTCAAAAATTTGGAGTACAAGCAGAGAGAATATAAGAGAGTGAGTATGCGTGCGCCCACGCTTATTATATTACACTGTATGTACTTTACATATTATGATAGAAAACAGTAAAAATGTTTAAATTACAATGTATTATGAATTGCATGCAGTTAATTTTTAAAATGCATATCCTTTATTGTCTTAACAATCACAATCCGTACGTTTCTATATTTAACGGTTGACTCAACGGTGAGTTCTCTGTTGAGACTAATGAGTCAGCGCTGTTTCACCGTTGCGCTCGACGACCTGAAAGACCGTTGAGTATTCAACAATCTAACATGGCGACATTCACGAAACAAGTAAATTTCGCTTATAAAAACTATCGATTCGCTCTTGCTGTGGATGCTGTAATTGCGGACAGATTAAAGAAAGACCCAGTATAGAAGAAAACGATACAGAGAAGAGTTCATTTGATTAAAAGGATTTATTCGAAAAATGGTTGTTACTTTCATTATTTAGCAAAATAGTCACAATCGTTGTCATCTCCTTAATTGGCAAGCGCCAAATCCGACAGAGGGCGCTGTTTTTGAGCCAAGATGGCTGCCGAAACGGGTAAGGAACCGACCACGTGTTTGTTCAGTGTCTGAGCCGATTCAGTTTCTATCGGTGACGACGTAGTCGGCTCCTTACCTGTTTCGGCAGCCATCTTTGCTCAAAAACAGCGCCCTCTGTCGGATTTGGCGCTTGCCAATTAAGTCGGCCATCATAGTGCCCTTTCAACGGAAACGTTTCTTTATTCTACAAAACGTGACGTCAGATCACGTTTTGTAGAATAAAGAAACGTTTCAGATCGTTCGACGGAGGAACTCAACGGAAAATTCACCCATAAGTGTTGAATTTAGAAACGTACGGACTGTAACATATCCTTGTGTTTTCTTCTGTTTACGAATAAATGCTTACACGATAAAATATCTACATTAATATTTATTTTCGAGTAATAATTGCTTTATGAAATAATTTTTATAATAATAAATTTTTCACTATATAATTAATCATAATTTATTTTATGCAGAATTTCGAGTGTTGACGAAAGAAACGAAGATAAAATTTCCAATTGAGTTCTGTTAATAAATCAGACAAGCGAATCATGTTCTTTACTCGGATATTCTTGTGTTTAGTTATTCAAATCATCATCATCGAGGTAACGGCCGGAAGAGCGAAAACATCCGAAAACTCCGAAACCATTCTTCCACTTAACCGCCTGAACGCCATGGCTAAACAATACAACGAGAAAGTACAAAAAGAGGGTTCTTGCTCGAATCCTGTGGCTAAATTGATTCCGGTGGGCACTTCTCCGGAAAAAATCTACGTTCCTCACTGTGCCATACTCCACAGATGCTCGGAGGACACGGGATGTTGTCACGGCAGCAGAAAGGTGTGCCAAGCCAAGAAAACGAAGAAGGTCAAGCTTCCGTTCAGAGTGTTCGAATTACTTACTAATGGCACGTACGATGGAGGTGAACCCATCCTGCTGAATTTTCTGAATCATACTAAATGCGCTTGTAGGAAGATGCGAAAGATTGCATAGATTATGAATTAATTACGGAGCCGACCAATCTTGAAGGTGCAACGTATTGATTTTGTCTAATGCTAACGTGTAAAACGTTTGTTTTTCTTCGTACAAACTGAAATTATGCCTAATATATTTTAGAAAATATATTTTTTGAATTGTTTTGTATTTTTTAGTCGTTTACCTACTAAAAATAATATTTATTAAAACAAAATTCTACATGTTATAATCATTTTATATTTATTTAAAGTGTCGATACGGTAATCTCATTTATGAATGTAAAATTTCTCTATTTTAACTAAATAAAACTAAAATTTTCAGTTTGTAAATTTCTCTTACTTGTATTAGTGGGCTTAAATATATACATTTTTTTCATTTATTGTAATATGTATTCAAATATTGTACATTCATTTTTGTTACATCACAAAACTACAACACTTCAGTAATGATTTCTTCTGATAAAAATTGAACACTACGAACACTACTATATTGTGATAAAAAAAACAATTTCTCTCCATTTTAAGAATTAATTGATTTTAAGCTATTAAGATTTCACTTCACTATATACCAGTAGACCCCCCTATAACACTGTTGATTTTTCCGTTTTATATGAATTCCATGATGTACGAGTCACTTAGATTTTACAAATACGTGTGCTGGGCTGTGAACGGCTCACGTATTTGTAAAATCTAAGTGACTCTAACAACATGGAATTCATATAACACGGAATTATCAACAGTGTTATAGGGGATCTACTGTATTTTATTTGTGAAATGATGTTTGTACTAATTCATAAGAATTTAGTTTGCTGTTGATTATGCAATTTAAATTGTAAAAATCCAAATGAATATGTTGACTACTAAAAATAAATTTTAATACATTTGTGTACTGTACCTATTATAATTATAATGTTGTTTGAAAGATAAATTGAAGTTAATCGACAAAAATTACTAAGTTTTGAGTATGAGAAAATAGCATAATTAAACTATAATGCTCTTATACATTTTTAAAACTCTTTTCCCCTGTGGGCACTAAGAGGGCCTCTTTTAGCAAGCCCATTATGGGTTCGGCAAGGCCCACAGTGGGGAGGCGAGGAATGCTTTTGTTTTATTAAATTTGTGGTAGAATAAATGTATTATTTATGTACAGTAATAGAGCAATCAATACAAAAGAATAATGCACAATTTGACATGCACCAATTACGTATTCATCTACAAAAAAATCAACACTGCAAATTGTTCAGCTGTTTTTCATAATGTTATTTAATATAATTGAATTTTTAAGATTCTAAGTTAAATCTTATTATGGCTACATTAAGATCTTACTTGAGCTACGAATGTCTATCTTTTAAACTCTTCCCTGTTCGAATACAAAACGAATTTCCATATTATGAAGCTGTCCTATACATTTTATAAAGATAAATATTATGGAGAAACATAATAATGAATGACTCTCAAGATAAACATTTCTCAGAATTTTGTCGTAAATTATGTTTACATTGAAAATTAAACTGTGGTGCCTTTAAGATAATCGATATCGTAGAGGTTTTAAAACATTTTATTACCTAACAAAAAACTCTTTATATGGAATTGGTAACACAAGTTATCATCAGTAGAAGGTCCTGGTATCTATTACGGAGGTGCAGTGACATGGGGTAAAGAGTTAAGAGAATCTNGGGAACTTCTCCGGAAAAAATCTACGTTCCTCACTGTGCCATACTCCACAGATGCTCGGAGGACACGGGATGTTGTCACGGCAGCAGAAAGGTGTGCCAAGCCAAGAAAACGAAGAAGGTCAAGCTTCCGTTCAGAGTGTTCGAATTACTTACTAATGGCACGTACGATGGAGGTGAACCCATCCTGCTGAATTTTCTGAATCATACTAAATGCGCTTGTAGGAAGATGCGAAAGATTGCATAGATTATGAATTAATTACGGAGCCGACCAATCTTGAAGGTGCAATGTATTGATTTTGTCTAATGCTAACGTGTAAAACGTTTGTTTTTCTTCGTACAAACTGAAATTATGCCTAATATATTTTAGAAAATATATTTTTTGAATTGTTTTGTATTTTTTAGTCGTTTACCTACTAAAAATAATATTTATTAAAACAAAATTCTACATGTTATAATCATTTTATATTTATTTAAAGTGTCGATACGGTAATCTCATTTATGAATGTAAAATTTCTCTATTTTAACTAAATAAAACTAAAATTTTCAGTTTGTAAATTTCTCTTACTTGTATTAGTGGGCTTAAATATATACATTTTTTTCATTTATTGTAATATGTATTCAAATATTGTACATTCATTTTTGTTACATCACAAAACTACAACACTTCAGTAATGATTTCTTCTGATAAAAATTGAACACTACGAACACTACTATATTGTGATAAAAAAAACAATTTCTCTCCATTTTAAGAATTAATTGATTTTAAGCTATTAAGATTTCACTTCACTATATACCAGTAGACCCCCCTATAACACTGTTGATTTTTCCGTTTTATATGAATTCCATGATGTACGAGTCACTTAGATTTTACAAATACGTGTGCTGGGCTGTGAACGGCTCACGTATTTGTAAAATCTAAGTGACTCTAACAACATGGAATTCATATAACACGGAATTATCAACAGTGTTATAGGGGATCTACTGTATTTTATTTGTGAAATGATGTTTGTACTAATTCATAAGAATTTAGTTTGCTGTTGATTATGCAATTTAAATTGTAAAAATCCAAATGAATATGTTGACTACTAAAAATAAATTTTAATACATTTGTGTACTGTACCTATTATAATTATAATGTTGTTTGAAAGATAAATTGAAGTTAATCGACAAAAATTACTAAGTTTTGAGTATGAGAAAATAGCATAATTAAACTATAATGCTCTTATACATTTTTAAAACTCTTTCCCCCTGTGGGCACTAAGAGGGCCTCTTTTAGCAAGCCCATTATGGGTTCGGCAAGGCCCACAGTGGGGAGGCGAGGAATGCTTTTGTTTTATTAAATTTGTGGTAGAATAAATGTATTATTTATGTACAGTAATAGAACAATAAATAAAAAGAATAATGCACAATTTGACATGCACCAATTACGTATTCATCTACAAAAAAATCAACACTGCAAATTGTTCAGCTGTTTTTCATAATGTTATTTAATATAATTGAATTTTTAAGATTCTAAGTTAAATCTTATTATGGCTACATTAAGATCTTACTTGAGCTACGAATGTCTATCTTTTAAACTCTTCCCTGTTCGAATACAAAACGAATTTCCATATTATGAAGCTGTCCTATACATTTTATAAAGATAAATATTATGGAGAAACATAATAATGAATGACTCTCAAGATAAACATTTCTCAGAATTTTGTCGTAAATTATGTTTACATTGAAAATTAAACTGTGGTGCCTTTAAGATAATCGATATCGTAGAGGTTTTAAAACATTTTATTACCTAACAAAAAACTCTTTATATGGAATTGGTAACACAAGTTATCATCAGTAGAAGGTCCTGGTATCTATTACGGAGGTGCAGTGACATGGGGTAAAGAGTTAAGAGAATCTTATAAGCGAGATCCATAACGGTTTTGCTAAAGAGACCCTCTTGGTACCCACAGAGAGAAAATAGTTTTTTTTTTTTTAAATTAAGAATAATTCTAAAATAGAAATATCGATATAGGACAGTACAGATTTTTTGTTTGGAGAAAAACATTAAACATGTTTGGAAAAGCAGAGTGCTGTAATTATGGAAAATACTGGCATGATGGAAAAATTTGATTGTCACGCAATGTGGCGAAGCATTTTTAATTAATTTGTACTTATTCAACAACAATTATAATTTGTACTTATTCAACAAATTATAAACTTAAAAATTCTTCCTTTCTTTTGCACACTTTTACACAACGAGTTAGAATATTCCAGTTTAGAATATTGTTTTACACAACACAGATGGCACGCCACTTGACTAAAAAGAAAATGGCAGACGTGTATTCACTTTTCTTTAAACATGGCGTCGCTACATCTACTCCATGCAGTGAATTCTAGCTCGTTGGTATGTCCTGAATTTATAATTCGATATGCAAATGAAATTCTTTGCCGCTTATTAAAATAGATTGTTTTTTAATAAGCGGAAAATATATTTTGTAGTGTTGTTAATTTACACTTAATTCTAGTTTAGGTTAACGGTAAGAAGTGTTTCTTGGCGAGGAGCCTGTCCTTACGTGAGTACAATAAACGGATTTGTAAAAACGGATGACAATGATTAAAATGAACATTTATAGATTAAATTAATAGCGTGATTATAGCAGTAAACTATAGAATAAATAGGCCTGTGCAGTATTTAGATTAAATAAATACAGTAATACCCCGAACTTACGCGATAGGTGGGACCGAGCGATAACCGCGTAAGTCGGGGTATAATTTTGCAATTTGTGTAAAATCCAAGTCGGATGCATGTAAGCTAATAAATGTTCTCGTTAATCTTATCTCGTCTTTTGATTCGTTCACGGTTACAAGAAATCACCACATAGAATCTCTAGAGTCTCCGTAGATATAATAAACACGGAAATAAATAACACAACATAAATTGTAGCTATTTGTCGATTCTGCGCGACACGTCCGAACATGTAAGCCGAACAATAGTGTGGGGGGAGTGAGTAATCGAGAGTTGCGTGGCGCTCAAACAAAAGACGAATCGACGAGATTTGAAAATCGCGTAACTCCGGGTTCGCGTAAGTCGAAATATTACTGTAATTAAAAACTTACATTCTGTCCTGTGTTTTACTGTTAGTGTTGAGTGAGACTGATAACACACGCGATAAAATTAGATTTAATGAAAATTTCGTGTTCTTCTTAATCTTACATTTCTTTTGCTGATTTCATTTGAACAGCTATACAAGTATAGTTGTAGAAAATTTTCACGAGTATTTTATATATAAGTAACAAATAGGTTGAATAATGAATCATTGCTAAAACGAAAAATAACCGCAGCTGTATACAGTATCGCGTG